AATGGAAATTGACAGGAAAATGGATGCAGATAACTACGATTCAATAGATCTCTTGAGCTGCTAACTTTGCAGAATTAAATATTGTGGTACTTAGTTCACATACAACATGTTGCTGTTCAGAGTATTTAGAGAAAACGAACAAAAAAACTTTTCTGTTCACCTGTTCTTATTCTCAAATTTCTAGAGAAAGTCCAGAAAAGATCTCAGGGGAAAAAAAAAAAGTTTTTTCCTGGTCATTTTCTTTCCTCGTATCATAGGCACTCATGAAGCTGAGGAATCATCTAGAAGAACAAGATTATGAGTAACTTGGATGGCTTGATGGGCTATTTTTTCACGGAAATTCTCCAGCATCCTCCCTTTGCCTCGTGGGACTACTAATGGACCCGTCCTCACCCTGTCCTGCTCCTCCAACCTAATGGGCATAGAATCTTCAACATTCTGATTCCTGGCCTCTGCTCTGGTGGAGTCAATTCTCTGTGTCTGTCCTGTGTTCCTTGTTGACTCCTTGATGGAAGGTGGGAGGTGTCAGAATAGTGGGGTTATGGAGAAGGTGAGGAATGGAGAGCTGTCTCCTGAGCTCAGGGGCAGCCTATATCATGGTGGCTAAGCTGTGTGGAATTGACAGGCCAGACAACACAATGACAAGGAAAGCAGCGGCCTGAATATGGAATGTGGTTCTGAGAAGACAGAGCAAGCTAAGACATTTGGGTTTGTCTAAAGCCATCCAGGTCGGAGGAGACTTTGGTCCTATGGGTCTCAGTGGAAATATATGCAAATGATAATGCAAAGAATTTGCATTTTTAATATAGCCTTCAGATAATTACATTTAAAAAGATTTATAATATATCTGAAGAAACATAAAAAGCCTTCACTTCAAATTTTAAAAACCTGGATGGGGCTGGGGTTGTGGCTCAGAGGAAAAGCGCTCGCCTAAGCATGCGTGAGACACTGAGTTCGATCCCCAGCACCATATAAAAATTAAATAAAAGTATTGTGTTCACCTATAACTAAAGAATAAATATTTAAATCGTATGGTTAAAAAAACCCCAAAAACCTGGGACTGGGGCTGTAGCTCCGTGGTAGAGCACATGACTAGCAAGTGTTGAGGCCCTGGGTTCGATCCTCAGCATCACATAAAAATAAATAAATAATATAAAGACGTGTCCATCTACAACTAAAAAATATTTAAAAAAAAATTAAAAACCTGAACATTCAGGTTCATAAACAATCTGGAACTACATCTTTGGGGAAAGAGTTCTGATTCAGACAGTTTTTAAGTAAATGTTCCCTATTCTCCAAACTTCTTTCCTCCCACCAGGACAGAAGGGGCTATTTTACAATTTTTCTGTTTTGTCAGCCTGACCTGACCCCAAAGCCAGACACACCATCCAGATCCACAGTCTGAGGGGTGGCCTGGCCTCTTCCTCTGCATGACAAAGAGCGGCTGCCCTCCCTCCTGAGGGCTAATCTATCCTTTGTAAAAAGTTTCCCAATCCACATTCGTGTCCTTCTTTTGGCTTTTGGCTAATTGCCCAATTACTTTATATTCCCAACAGAACTCTATAGGCTGGTGGGAATCCACATTCAGGATAGCAACCAGAGTCTTGGGAGAAACCTGAGGAGTCTGCAGGATTTGTCCTTTGTCTGTCTGCTTCTCAAGCTGCCCTGCCCCCTTCCCCTGCCCAGACCCAACTCCGGGTTGATGAATCCCCAGCTTGCCTGAGGCTGATGGATGAGCCCTGCAGGCTTTCAGGGACAGGGCAGGATGGGCACTGGAAATAATTTGAGGTTGTAGAAAGCACTATGGCCTGGGAATTGGAAGAACTGGCTTTGTTCAGGTGTTGATCATTAACTGTGTGAGCTTTGGGGAAGCTGTCACCTCTCCAAACCTCAGTTTTCTTAGCTCAAAACCTTGGGGCAGCAGAATGGCTTTGTTACTCCATTTCAGCTCTAAGCTCAATAGTCCATTTCAACTCAAAGCCCAGGAGAGCAAGGTAGTTGGCCGGATAAGCTCTTCATTGGTGCTACATGTTCCCAGGCTCCTTGCTCAAGGGATGCTCCCCCAAATTGGGCAGAGGGATGTTTTCCAACCATGTACCACCTGTGCAGGCTCCCAGAACCACCCTCAGCACTAGGCCTCACATGCCTGGCCCCATCTTAGGTCCTTGGAGAGGCTAGGTATTGACAGGATAGTTCTAGCTCCCACTGAGGGCTCAGTTCTAGGTTTGGCTCTGCCCTGAAGGCCAATCCAGAAGCACCAAGAAGACATCTGGAGGAGGCAGGAAGGGTCCTTCCACTTTACTGTCTTCTCTAGAAAATGAGGTTTGTATTTAGCATGTCAGTTCCCAGGTACTCCCAGGTTTTTGCCCTGATGTGTCTCCTAGATGGTAGATGGCTCTTGTGCACGTCTGTAAGCAGCAGCACCAGGGTCTTGGCCTACTTCGGCCCTGGAACAGCATGTCGTTGCTGAACCACAACAGGGTCCACAAGGTCTTGTTGTAAGCCTCTGGCCCCAGGGAGTTCCCAATAGCTCTAGATGTTGGAGGCTTGGGGAGGGGGTTGTGGCATGCAAGGGCAGCCTGGGTGTTATATCCTTGGCACCTTTCTGGCCTGTGATAAGCCACAGGGCTTCCTCTCACCCAGCAGCAAGGGTGGCGGACTATCGCATATTTATGGAAACCAACCCAGAAGAGCTTCTAGGACTGAGGACCACAGGTCCTGAGTCGCCTGTAAATGTGACACTTCTGCACCTTTTGGTCCGACTTAAGGCCCAAATGTTTGCATCACTTAAGTCCTTTCTCTGATAATCACTTGTAAAGAAAGGCAACAGCATTTCTTTTGAAGAAGGCTATGCTTGTCACCAAGAGAGTGGGAGGGTGGTTTGGACTGACACAACTTATTTTTCAGAGGATGTTCAAACTATTAAATGGGATTTTTATTATTTATTTATTTATTTTGCAGGGATAGAAGCCAGGGTTTCAAACATGTTAAGCATATGCTTTACATCTGACTTCACTCCTAGCTTCTCAGTGCTATTTATTTATTTATTTATTCATTTTTGTGGTGCTGGGGATTGAATCCAGGGCCTTGTACTCTAGCAACTGAGCCATATCCCCAGCCCTTATCAGTGTTATTTTTATTTCACCTTCTAATTTTAAGCCCATCCCACATACTACTAAAATCCCACTCTCTATATGCAAATGAATGTATATTTACAAATGCTTGTGTATATGCAAATGCCTAAGTGTATATATATATATATATATATATATATATATATATATATATACACACACACACACACACACACACACATGTATATAGTGTAAATTTATGCATGGTATCCCTAGGCTCTCACCCAGAAGAAATTCTGCCCTTGAGGATTAGAAAGTTCTCTCCTCCTGGGCTGTGTGACACGAGGGGTTTGTCAATGACGCAGCATCTCCACAGAGGTGTCATGGTGCTACCCTACCTGGGAAGGTGGCGGAGGTGATCCCTGCCCAACCGGTCCTTTGGCCCTCAGACCACAGTCCTTGTCCCCCTCCACCATCATCGTTCACCTCCCACATGACAGAACACAGGAATCAAGATTGTGGATTTTCAGGAAGGGCTTCCTCCCGCATGCCCTCAAATCCCCTGAGCCAGGAGAGGCCTCTGGAGACAGATGCCTGCATTTTTGTCTGAGCTTTCCACCAACTGAACATCAGTTCACCCTGCAGTGCTTCGATATTGCATCTGGGAGATGTGTCTCCTGAATACATGCCTGATACATGGTGAGCATTCAAGAAACGTTTCATATTCTTGTTGATGATAGTTTTAGAAAGGCCACAACCTTGAGAATGCAGATTTCTAGACAAATACCAAAAGCACACCCTTCTAGAGTGATTACTAGAACAAGGCACTGGGCTAAACACCTTATTCATATTCATTTATTTAATCTTCATACTAACTCTATGAAGTAGAGCCTATTATTATCATCATCTCCTGCCTTCAGATGAGGAAACTGAGGCACTGGGAAGTTAAATAACTCACTAGTAGGTTTAGCGTAGAACAAGTAGTAGATCCCATATTCAAACCCAGCTAGTCTAAAATGTGTTGGAGAAGGCACTGAGGGCTCTCACTTCAATATGCCCCCAGTACCTATGGCTTTGGACAGGACATGCCTGTCACGGTGTTACGGTGCTACCCCACCTGGGAACACATGCCTCTGTGTTGTGGCTTTCTGCTTTCTGTCCTTCCTCCCTTGTCTGGAAATGTCGAGGACTCAGGCTGAGTGCTGATGGTGTAAGCCGGCTCAGTGGGCAGACCCCTCCCCAGAAAGATTCTGCTATCTGAAGGTGGAAAATCACTCTGTGATTGTCTGACTGGGAAGACACCAGCAAGAATTGCTTTTCCTGAGTCAGCTGCCTGAGTTCTGTCCTGACAGCATCTACCTTCCTCTGTCATGGGGGAAGGCAAGGAATGTGACAGAACCTTGAAAGACACATGGCATGGAGCAGGAGGGGACTGCAAGGGCTAAAAGATAGAGGGAGATTCCTTTGACTCAAGGGGCATCATGAAAGAGGCCAAGATCAGCAGGACTACAGAACACTTTCCCTCCCTCCTTCTGGGACAAATCTAGACCCATAATGTCTTTCAGGAAGAGATTTAAAAGTGGCTAATAGGACTCACTTGTTCACAAAACAATCTTGCTTTTTCATAAAACAAGATTGGGATATGTTAGGGAAATTCAATATTGGGAGCTGTCAAGGCAGTATAGGTAGAAACTCCAGGCATCCAGACAGTCTTTTGTGCCCTTTCTGGACAGCCTGCTCCCTGGGACTCAAGAGCCTGTCTGGCTGCTGAGCTCCCAGGAGGTCCAAGGGGTGTGACCTATGCCCCTCCCTCTTCACCCAGGGCTGGCTATAAAGCTGGCCAGCCCTAGTTCTCAGCAGACCCAGCCAGGCCCAAGATCCTCCAACAGCCTTCTTGGGGACACATCTACCGTCCTGAACTGTACCATGTGGTCCCTGTGGCTCTGCTTGGCACTCTGGGTGATGCCACTAGTGGGCCCTGGGGAGGCCTTGACTGAGGAACAGGTCCTGGACAGCCTGCTGCAGCAGCTGCAGCTCAGCGAGGCACCCACCATGGACAGGGCCGATGTGGAGGAGCTGACCATGCCTCCTGATGTGCAGGCCCAGTATGTATCCCTGATGCAGCGTAGCCATGGGGACCGCTCCCGTGAGAAGAGATTCAGCCAGAGCTTCCGAGGTGAGCCCTCCACCTTCTGCATCTTGATCCTTAGTGGGGAGGGACAGACAGACTGCCCTTAACCATTCTGGTAGTGTCAAGAGGCCCCTGCTTTGTGAGGCTCTGTGGAGAGACCATGTGGTGCTTATGGTTAAGGGGCAGTGAGGAGGGACCATGGGCCTGTGAGGGTGGGTGGATCTGGGTCCCTGGGCTTTGGCTGTGCATTGATAGATCTCTCAGGGCCAGGAGGAGGTGTGCCAGGCTGGACCTGCTGGCAAAGCCCAGGCCCCAGAGAAGAGGAGGAGATAGAGAGCTACTGGGCTTGGGTGGGTATGGCTAGAACCAGGTTCCCCCAGGGAACTAGGTTACAGGCAAGACTTCTCTGTTTCCACATTGCCACCCTGATCTGAGGGTGATCTGGAACAAATTTCCTTAAAAACCTCTTTCAACCATTTGCTACCTGGAACAGTGGACGACTGTTTCTCATCTGTCTCCCTCCCAGCATGGTGAACAATGAAGTGAGTGAGTGGCTGTGGGTAGTTGGGAATATTGAAGTGTGACAGCAGAGTGTCCAGCTGTCAGAGATGCAGCTGCACCTCCATCTTAGTGCAGCCTATTGCCTCAGAGCTGGAACCATCTGCTAAGGGCCCAAGCTACATCCAATGCCGGACACCGCAGGTGCTGATATTTGATTTTCCATATGTTGGAGTTATCCAAGAGTCCCAGAGAGGCCTCTTCCTGCTGGTGGAAATCGTTATTAAGGGAGTCCCAGACTCAAGGGAGATTTTTAGGTAACTGGGTTTGCCCCAGAAACACAGAACAGCGGCTGGTCTCTCCTGGCCTGGCAGCCTGCTCAATGGCCTTGCCACCTTCAGAACTCCCCTGGTGTACTGAGAGGCTATGCTGACCCTGCTCTTGTCGCCAGAGATGGTGGGCAAGTTCTTGGTGTCCGAGGCCTCCACGCAGCTGCTGGTGTTTGGCATGGAGGGACGACTGCCACCCAACAGCGAACTGGTGCAGGCTGTACTGCGGATCTTCCAGGAGCCTGTCCCCAGGGCCACGCTCCGCAAGCAAGAGAAGCCGTCCACGCGTGGCCACCGGGCCCGGATCACCATTGAGTGGCTGCGTGTGCGCGACAATGGCTCTAACCGCACCTCCCTCATAGACTCCAGGTGTGGATCCTGGCTGCTGTGTGCTGGGGGAATGGAGTAGGGGATGGAGTAGGGAGGAGGCTGCTTGGTTGAGCGCGAGAAAGGGGCGCAAAAGGGGCGGGGCCAAGGGATGGAGGCGGGGCGGGGGCGGGGTAGTTTCCTCCCAGGATCCCACCCCTCACGCGGTTCTCTGTTTCAGGCTGGTGTCCATCCACAAGGGCGGCTGGAAGACCTTTGATGTGACCGAGGCTGTGAACTTCTGGCAGCAGCTGAGACGGCCCCGGCAGCCCCTGATGCTGAAGGTGTCCGTGCTGAGGGAGCATCTGGGCCCCGGGGCCTCGGACGCCCACAAGTTGGTCCGCTTCTCCGCGCAGGGGGCACAGGGCGCTGAGCAGAGGGAGCCTCAGCTGGAGTTGCACACGCTGGACCTCAAGGACTATGGGTATGCTGCGGCTGGGAGGCCAGGGACACAGCAGATGGCGTGGTCCGGGCCTACCATCTCAGGGACTGGCTAGGGGGCGGCTGTGCAGACTACCCAGGATAAGACCGATTCCTATATGTTGGAGTTTCTAACGATAGAAATTGTATTATTCAAACGTTTATTTATTTATTTACTTATTCATTCATTCTGGGGATTGAACTCAGGGGAGGTTTATGACTGAGCTACACTCCAGTCTTTTTTTTCCCCCAATATTTTTATTAGTTGTTGATGGACCTTTGTTTTATTTACTTATTTATATGTGGTGCTGAGAATCGAATCCAGTGCCTCACACATGCTATCAAGTGCTTTACCACTCAGCCACAACCCCAGCCCCACTCCCAGTCTTTTTTATTTATATTTAAGACAGAGTATTGCTAAGTTGCTGAGGGTCTCTCTAAGTCTCTGAGGTCTCAAATTTGTGATTCTCCACCCTCAACCTCCTCAGTGGCTGGGATAACAGGCATGGGCCATGGCACCTGACTTATGAAAACATTTTGTTGAAAAATGATGCCACTGAATCATACACATTATTATAATCATCTATTTTCACTTTTGCCATCATGATTAGTCTTTGAAAAATATTAACTCTAGCTGTTAGCAAGGCTGAATTCTTTTTCTCATGGGACAGTTTAGCTATTTGGAGCAGACAAGGGCAGCATAGTATAGTCAGCTTTCTGGATCCGTGGCTTTCACATCTGTGGATTCAACCAATCACAGATCAAAAATATTTAGGGGAAAAACCCTCATCTTACTGAACACGAAGAGCCTTTTTTTCTTGTCATTATTCCCCAGACAATGCAGTGTAACAACTATGTACAAAACATCTACATTGTATTAAGTATGATAAGTAATCCAGACATGATCTTAAGTATATGGGAAGATATGCATAGTATACAAATTCTACCATATTTTATACAAGGGACTTGAGCAGTGCAGATTTGGGTAGCCAAGGGGGTCCTGGAACTAATCCCTCATGGATACTCTATATTGAGGATGAGTATATAGTAGTTAAGACCAAGCCCTTTGGAATCAGACAGTTGAAGTTCCATCTAGTTCTGCCTTCCACTGGCTTCATGTCCTCTGGCTTGTCCTCCACTGAACATCTTTGGGCTTCATTGTTCTCAAGTGTAATAGGGAAACCCTCTCCAAGTTTCATTTGGATGAAATGTAGGTATCACCTGATAATACACATGGCATACCTAGGTCAATGTCTAGCATATTAGGAGACTATTAATAAATAGTAGGTCACTTTATATTCTGAATGTTTATTCATTTGTCTTCTATTACAAGTACCAAGTTTTTTTTTAATGTAATAAAAGATGGATTTAAATCTCCTTTCAGATTCTCCACTAAGCTGCCCACTGGACCTCCTTATCTCGGCCCTTCGGCTGACCTCTGACCCTATCTCTCCTTGCCCCCACAGAGCTCAAGGCAATTGTGACCCTGAGGCACCAGTGACCGAGGGTACCCGCTGCTGCCGCAGGCAGGCATACTTGGACCTTGAGAAGACGAAGTGGGCTGACAACTGGGTCGTGGAGCCCCCTGGCTTCTTGGTCTATGAGTGTGCAGGCAGCTGTCTGCAGCTCCCAGAGCGCCTGGCCAACAAGTGGCCATTTCTCGGACCAAGACAGTGCATCGCCTCAGAAACAACCTCACTGCCCGTGATTGTGAACGTCAAAGAAGGAAGCAGGACCAGGCTCCAGGTGGTCAGCCTGCCCAACATGAGGGTGCAGGAGTGCAGCTGTGTCTCAGATGGGGCTCCTGTATCAAGGGGCCTCCAGCCATAGGCTCTTGAGTATAGCAGTATAGCCACTTGAGGCCTCTGCAGAAGCAGGTCTTAACGTAGATCTTAATTTTACACTTAGCAATCTACCCTTGTCCCAGTTTAGTGCCTCCATGTTATCTTTGCCCTGTGTTCTTCCAGTTCCTGTCCTTCTTGTCTATCACCCATCCTAAGCACTTACATGAATAAATAATGCAGTTCCAGATGCTGTATTCCAGTAGGAGACCCTGGCCTACTTAGTAGAGGATGTGGCTGAGCAATGAACAGATTGTCAGCTCAAAGTTTCTATTCCCTGGAAAATTCTCAACTGAGTAGGGAATAAACCCTATAATGAGAGCTGGGGAAATAGAACTGATTTACTCTAAAATACCTGATGAATTAGAACAACTTAAAAATCCCTGTTTCTCCTGCACAAGGAGGTAGCTGAAAAACAACTCCTTTTCCCCTAAATACTGACCTATTTTTGTAAAGGTACCTAGGTCCCTGTTTCCCTGAGAGGGTGATGAAGGAGGTAGGATGAAGGGTTTCAGGCAAGGGGCTGTAGACAGGGAATTAGGACCCCTGATTTTTGATTCTGATGGGGCTACAAGCTGGGACCTCCAGCAAATGCAGAAGACTTTGGGTTCCTGTGTCCTCTTAAAGAGGAGGAGTGGGCTTCAGCTCTCAGACTTCTTTGCCCCAGGGATCTGACAGTCCCTCACACTATCTTCTACTCCACAGACATTGCCTGTGTGTATTTAGGTGATCCCTCACTGTTTTAGAGAACTTATCACCAGAGACCACATGTATTTACATATTGCTGTTCTTATATTTAGCAAAACCAATTAAATGTAGATAATATGAAGAAATAAAATGAAAGTGATGTTTCACTCTATGTCTCTATATTTAATTTCTAGTACTCTACTCTTTCTTTAAGAGAGAAGGAAGTGGAAGCAGACCCTCATCGTTATACAAAACACATGTATGAATATGTGAGAAAAAAAGAATAGCATTACCTTAGATTAGGTAGAGAGAAGTGATGGGAGGGGAGGGGAGGGGTTGGGGAGATAGGAAGGATAGTCAAATGAAATAGATATTATTACTGTGTGTATTTATGTGACTGCACGACCAATATGATTCTGCCTACTCAGAAAAATGAGAAATTATATCCCATCTGATTCAAATGTATGATATGAACAAAAAATTAAAAAAAAGATTTAGCTATAAAAAAGAAAAAAGAGAGAAGGAAGTGAATATGAGGGAAGGAGAGCAATGTAATGATTGCTCTCAATCATTAAAGAAAGGGGGTGGCCAAGGACTCTCTCAACTTCTAGGGGCATTGAAGACTATAATAACTAAAGTTAGTTTAGGCTTTCATTTATGATTTTTATATTTTCCCACACAAATCTCATTTCAAAAATAGTATTGTGAATAATCATATATTTCTTCTTTTTTAAAAAAATTCTTCCTAGTTATACATGGACACAGTATCTTAATTTTGTTATTTATTTTTCTCTGGTGCTGAGGATCAAACCCAGTGCCTCACAAGTGCAAGGCAAGTGCTCTGCCACTGAGCCACAACCCCAGCCCTATTCCTTCTTTCTGTAAAGCACTTTAAACTCTGCAAAGATGGTTATGGGGTCCAGTGGGGTGTAGTGTTGAGGTAAGCAAGCTTATATTTATTGAGCATTCATGAAGAACCAGGGATCCAGGCTATGTCACATATATTAAATCACTTAAATTTTTGCAGCTATTCTTTGAATTAAGTATTCTTATTCCCGTTTTCAGATATAGAAACTGAGGCCAAAGCAATGCAAATCTGTTGAATTTCCACTCCATAGAACGGGTTATATTCTCATTCCCACTCCAGTTCCCAATAAGTCGGCTTTACTGATGACACAGACATTGGGTTCAAATATCATTTGGAAGCTGTCATATCTGGCATTTTCCCTAAATTTACCTTTCTCATTCACTGGGGTTTTCTTATGCCCAACTATGGAGAAAGTTATACTTTAAGTTCATGGACTATATCTTACCACAAAGCTAATAAATATCAACTGAATAGTAGAAGAAAAAAAATTTTTCTGAGGACAGCCAGGATTTGAGGACATGGCAAGAGTATTATAGAAAGTAGGGGAAGAACAGTTGGCTCTCATTTATCAATGGCTAGATCATCTCCATAAGATATCAGAATGAAGCCTTTATATGTGGGCGTTGTAAGTACCATATGGCAATGGTTGCTTTGTCTGTAAGAGGGATATGATTATCTTGTAAAGAATTCTACCAGTTATTCAGTGATGCATCTGTGGCTCTGAAGTCTATGGTCTCCCAGCCAGTAACATATAATCAGTGTTAAGGATGGACCTGCTCATGCCAGCTTGAATGAGGCAGGAGGATCACAAGTTTGAGACCAGCCTTGGCAAATTAGCAATACCCTCAGCAACTTAGTAAGACCCTGTCTCAAAAAAAAAAAAATTAAAAGGATTGTGGGTGTAGCTCAGTGGTAGAGTACCCCAGGGTTTAATTCCCAGTACCAAAATAATTCGTTTTAAAAATACAGGAGACATTTGGCTGGGGATGTGGCTCAAGTGGTAGCGCGCTCGCCTAGCATGCGTGCGGCCCTGGTTCGATCCTCAGCACCACATACAAACAAAGATGTTGTTGTGTCCACCGAAAACTAAAAAATAAATATTAAAAAAAATACAGGAGACGGCTTCATTTCAATGTAAATAAAGATGTGCTCATTAGCTCAGGGAGACAGTGTGGTAGACAGAAGCTTCTCTCTAAAGACATCCATACCCTAATCCTTAGAATTGGTGAATATGTTATGTTACATGGCAAAAGGGACTTTGCAGATGTAATCAAGATCACAAATATTAAAATAGGGAGATTATCATGGATTATCCAGGTGTACTGAATCTAATCACATGAGCCCTTTAAAATCAGAAAATGTTCTCTGGCTAGAAGCAGGAGAGATGAGATAGAAGGGAGAGGTCAAAGATATTTGAAACATGAGAAAGACTCAGCCTACCATTGTTGGATTGAACATGAAAGGGACCATGATCTTTGGAATATGAGTGGCCTTTAGGAGGACTGAGGGCTCTGGGCTGATAGCAAGCAAGGAAAAAAGACCTGAGTCCTACAACCGCATGGAACTAAATTTTCCCAGCACCTGAATGAGTCTGGAGGCAAAAATTTTCCCAGAGCCTCCAGGTAAGAGTCCAAGTCAGCTGACATTTTTATTTGATTTTGTGGAACCTGCAACAGAGACACCAGCTGAGCCTACCGAGACTTCTAATCTACAAATTGTGACAGTAAATTATTTTGTCTTAGAGGCTAAAATATGTGGTGCATTATTACAGCCACAATAGGAAAAGAACACAAAAGTGAGACGGATCCCATTATAAGTGGTACATAGTCAGGAACAAGGTGCAGGCCTATAATCCTAGCTAAAAGGGAGGCTCAGGCAGGAGGATCAAAAGTTCAAGGCCATCCTGGATAACTCAGTGAGAACCTGTCTCAAAATGAAAAGAGAAAAGGACAGGGGTTGTAGCTCAATGGTAAAGTGCCTCTGGGATTAATCCTCAGTATCAAAAAAAAAAAAAAGAAAAAAAGAAAAAGAAAATTGCCACCAAGAACTTAAAGAAGAAGGAAGCTGTGGAGGAGGTGGAGATTGGAAGAGATGCTCCAGCTAATTTGAACGCTATTGAGGAAAATGGGGAGCAGGAGGTGACAATAAGGTAGAACATTAAGAGGAAGAAAGTGGGGAGGAGGAGGAGGAAGAAGAGGGCCGTGGTGGGGAAGATGATGGAGATGAAGATGAGAAGGCTGAGGCTGCTAAGGACAAACAGTACAAAATGATGATGACGACAATGTGGATCCAGGATGCAGATGAATGAGGATGACTAGACGGCAAAACTTAAAAATAGTGGGCTGTGTTGGTTGGTTAGTGGCAGAGCGCTTGCCTAGCACATGTGAGGCACTGGTTTGATTCTCAGCACCACATATAAATAAAATAATTAAATACATAAAGGCCCTTCAACAACTAAAAAAAAATATATATATATTTTAAAAAAAACCTTAAAAATGGCTGCCTGTGACCTATTCACCCTCTACCTCCTTCTCAGACTCTATAAACACAGTCACCTTCAAGTAGAGAGGCCCTCTTGCCCAGAGGGCAGAACCATCCACAGATGGCACCTGCTGTCTATCACCCAACCAAAACCACAACATGAATTTGCAACAGGGAAGGATTAAAAAAAACCCAGAAGTTCCACGTACCTGCTTTTTTTTTTCTTCAAAATAACTTAGAAAGGACATTTTCTTTGTATTTTTTTTTCAGTAATGAGGTTTGAACCCAGAAGCATTCTGTCTCTGAACTACATCCAAACTTTTAAAAAATTTAAAAAAAAATGTTTTTGGTACTAGGCATTCAACATAGGAGTGCTTTATCACTGAGCTATATCCACAATTCTTTTTATTTTTTATTTTGAGATAGTTTTGCTAAGTTGTTGAGGGTGCTTTTAAGTTGCCAACGTTGGCCTTGTGATCCTCCTGCCTCAGCCTCCCAAATCGCCGTGATTACAGGCATGCATCACCATGCCTGGTTTGCTTTGCATTTTTTTTCTTCTTTTTTTGTTTCTTCTTTCTGTTTTTTTAACTTATGCTTTAAATTTTTGTACATATTGTAGGAGTCACCTACTTTTAATGATCTTGAATGACCCAACCAGTCATTGGGGCATTCTTTGTCCTACTTATGACTTTACTTGTAGTGTGACTATGTTTATTATAATCTCAAAGGAGAGGGAAAAAAAAAGAAAAAAAACAATAAAAAATTATTCCAAGCATTCCAGTAACTTTTTTTTTTAGTTGTAGTAAGACACAATACCTTTATTTTATTTATTTATTTTTATGTGGTACTGAGGATCGAACCCAGGGCCTTGCACGTGCTAGGCAAGCGCTCTGTTGCTGAGCCACAACCCCAGCCCACATTCCAGTAACTTTTTATGTGTGTGCTATTAGTAGATGATTTATATGAGATGGTTAAAAAAAATCAAGATAAAAGGTTTATTTTATTCCTTTATTTTTTGTCTATGATGTTGCTGTTTACTTATTTATATGTTTGATCCATGTGTGAAACAATGATGTCCAACAGTAAAATGGAATCTTATTTTGTTGAGTTGTTCTAACAAAAAGTAAAACCAAGTTAAAGATGTGTCAGATTGCATAGGAAAAAAGCAGTGTAGAGAGTTATTCTCCCAAAGCATCATTAATGGTTTTCCTTTATTGGTGGGATTAAAGACATCATTTGTGGGCTGGGGAAGTAGCTCAGTGGCAGAGCAATTGTCTAGCATGTGTGAGCCCCAGGGTTCCATTCCCAGCACTACAAAAACAAAACAAAACAAAAAACCCCAGAAAACAAAAACAATAAGACAAATGTTCATTTTCGCCTTTGTTCTAATTTCTAATTTTTCTATATTTAAATATGAATTTTTTGTGTAATCAAAAATAAATGAAAGCCAAGTGCATGCCAGTAATCCTAGAGACGGAAGACTAATGCAGGAGGATCTCAAGTTCAAGGCCAGTCTCAGCAACTTAATGAGGCTCTGTCTTAAAAAATAAAAAACATAAAGAGCTAGAGATGTAGCTCAGTGGTTAAGAACTTCTGGGTTCAATCCCCAGTACTGAAAAAAAAAAGTGCAAAAATGTATGCAAAACCTCCTAGAGAGGTTCTTAGGTCAGGAAGGACCTAGGTGTCAAGGGATTTGTCATCTGTGTAGCTGGGGACAGCTCAGGTTCACCCCCATTGCCTGGATCATCTCAGTTCTTAGAGGAGACGGGCCAGCTGTTTTTAGAGCTAAGCCAGAAGGGAGGGCCTGAGAGTGAATAACAGGACAAATAAACACACACACTTTGTCTGTGGCAGCTGGAGGGAGAGAACCCAGAACTGAGAGGAGGGAGGAAAGGAATTGCAGGATGGTTGAACCTGCTTGACTAGTGGCTGGGAGAATAGAAATACCCTGGCTGTCTGGCAGACACATCTGTCTTGTTCAGTAGAGCAGGCACCCGAGAAGACAGTTGTATACAGGGAGAGAATATGTCCATGGCAGTGCCAGGTTAGGGCCCTTCTTGAGAATGTGTCCCAAGTGACTGAATGAGGATTACAAGCCTCTCCTCTCATCTCATCTCTCTATCATTTCATTCCCAAAAGAACTTTAACAGACATCAGTCATAATCTCCCTGGGAGCCATGGAAGAGGTTATAGCACCAAGGAAATAGGCCTTTAGCATCAGCAAGCCCCTTAAGTCCCATGAAATGGGATTACCTTTCATGAAAATAAATAACAAAGTTGTGAATATATGGGCTGTGGGTGTATCTCAGTGATAGAATGTCTGCCTACCTAACATGTGGGAGCTCCTGGGTTTGGTTCCCAGCATCAGAAAAACAGAGAAGGAGAAAGAAAACGAGGGAGAAGGAGGAAGAAAGAAAAAGAGGGAAAAGAAGAGGGAGAAAGAGAGAGAGAGAGAGAGGGAGAAAGAGAGAGAGAGAGAGAGAGAGAGAGAGAGAGAGAGAGAGAAGAAAGAAAGAAAGAAAGAAAGAAAGAAAGAAAGAAAGAAAGAAAGAAAGAAAAACTGTGTACATGTGAAATTTGGAGATGAAGCTGGGCATGGTGGCACATTCCTATAATCCCAGCGATTTGGGAAGCTGAGGCAGGAGACTCTCAAGTTCAAGGCCAACTTGGGCAACTTAGTAAGACCCTGTTATCAAATTTTAAAAAATAAAGGACTGGGGATATAGCTCAGTAATAGAGCACCCCTGGGTTCAATCCTTAGAACTGCAAAAACAAAACAAAACAAAATAATAGAACTCCAAGTACTGTAAAATAACCAGTTTCTTTTTAGGTGCTGGGGAATTGAACAAAGGGCCTCTTGCATGCTAAGCATGGGCTCTACCACTGAGCTACATTCCCCAGCACAATAACCAGTTTCTGATCAGCAGTTTCCATTTTCAAACTTGGGGAGCAAGTGCTTTCCTTGCTCCCTCTCTTGTGTTGTCTGACCTGGCTGGGAACAAGCCAGCATTGGAGATCACCAACACGGGGTCTTCCTTCTTAGATGCTTATAGTCCTCCCATTTCACCCCCTCTTCCTGAATGGATAAAGAAAATTTGTTACTCATACATAATAGAATATTGTTCAGTCATAAAAAGGAGTGAGGTCCAGCAACTCCTCTCAGTCCCCTCTTGCCCTGCAGGAATTCTCTCTTCTCACTTGCATAAATATTACTCTTTTATGCTATTAAAAAACAAACAAACAAACAACAACAAACTTCATCATTTGCAGCATTCTCTTTTTTGGCGGGGGACGCTGGAGACTCAACTCAATCCAGGGGTTCTTTACCACTGAACTACATTCCCTAAACCTTTTTCTTTCCTTCTTTATTTTTTTTTTATCCTTACTAAGCTGCCTAAGAAAGTCACTAAATTGCTATAGCTGGTCTCAAACTTGGGATATTTCTGCCTCAGCCTACCCAGTCGCTAGGATTACAGGTGTGGGCTCCCACGGCTGGTTTATTTTTTGAAATTTTGATTAATACACACGCATTGCTTTTCTAATAATAATAATAATAAAAAAAGTTGTATTTGCTCCTGACTTAGAGGTGCTGTAAACGGGATTCTTGGAGGTGTGGCTCAGTGGTTAATCACTCCTAGGTTCAATCACTGGTGCCACAGGGGAAAGGGGTTAAAAAACAAAAACAAAACAAAACAAAAAAAAAACAACCCGCAAGGGGCGACCACGAGAGAGGGGCACCCAACTGCAGAAGGGGAGTCTGGGAGCCAATCATTTCCTCAACAAAGGAACTGGTCCCGCTTGCGATCTAGACAAGAAAAAAAATTCACGCGGAACCACGCAAGTACAAGCGAATAAACCGCAGCTGCCCCGCTGCCACACAACTTGGGCTGGGAGGGAGCCAGCAGAAAGTAGGGGTTTCGAAGAGCGGATCCCGCTAATCCCGGGTGGCACCGATGCGCTCGGTCTGGGTCCCCCAGGTTTGCACCATCCGGTCTGAGCCCCGCCAGGAGAGCCTCATTCATATAAAATCGGCAATCTGGAGGATCCCTCTTGGTCATGAGGGACGGCTGACGGCCAGCGCCATAAACAACACTGGCCAGGCCTCCGCGAGGTCTGGGTTCTGAGTCCCACACCACGCGGGGACCGCAGACTCCGAGTTCACGTCGCTGCGCCGGATGTGCACAGGACCAGCCCCGGAGCTGCACCAGAGGTTGAGAGCGCCGGTGGGGGCGGGCACACGGCTCAGAACGACCGCGGATTGGCTATCCCTGCGATCCTGGCCGCGGATTGGTCTCCCGGAGCTCCCAGCTGCGGATTGGCCTCCCGGGCCACGTGGCCTACAGCAAGGCCTCTGCCAGCGCCTCCGGTGTGAGTGAGGGGGCCCGCGGGGTCCCGCCTAGGAGCCAGCCCCGGCGGCTATCTGGTTCCGGAAACTGTCGGGAACTCTCAGGATCCGGCTTCTTACTCCTGTTCTTCCGTCAGCAGCGTCATCTGGGTCTTACTGGGTTTGTGCGGCGGCCGCTGGGACTCGGGAGCCAGCCACCATGAGCGTGGGTTTTATCGGCGCTGGCCAGCTGACCTGTGCCCTGGCGCGGGGCTTTACCGCCGCTGGTGAGCTCGTGGAGGCGGGAGGCGGATTCATTCCCGGGAGGACTGGGCTGGGAACCGCCCTTCATCCCACCAGCATGAATGAATGAATGAATGAATGCGGGAATTTGCGTATCATGGGGTCGATGAGACTGTTTTTAAGCGGCGAGTCATCTTATATCCATCCGGGTAAGGGATTAAGTTGGTGTCGGAGACTAGCACTGTGAGAGCAGCTGTGCGTTGTGATCTGATCCCAGGAAAAGCATGGCCACCGGGTGGACAATGATTCCGTTGAAAAGTCTTGTCTTCTGCAGGCATCTTGTCGGCTCACAAGATAATAGCCAGCTCCCCGGAAATGGACCTGCCGACGGTGTCTGTGCTCAGGGTAAGAGGGATGGAGGGCTGTGGGGAGGAGGGTGGAGACTCAGGAAAAGAATAACCTGAGATGAACTGAGTCAGGCTGCCCCTGAGCCTCTGGTCTTTGGGTTCCCAGGAACATCTCAATCCTTCCATCTTCTCTGGAGCAGCTTAGGGTAGTGGTGAAACTAGTCTTGAAAATCAGGATCGGTCCCGTTTCCCCAGTGTTGAAGATTAAACAACCGAGAAGCACCGAGGCAGAAGAAAAAAGTTTTATTTGAGGGGTAGAAGAGAGAGAGACTCCTCCAGAGAGGAGGGGTTCTAAAGCTGGTGCCCCCTAGGAATTGGGGTGTCCTGCCAATTTTATACATTTTAGGTTTCCTTTCTGCTCATGCCCCTTCCTCCTCTTATCTTGCCTGTGAGATCAAAAGGTGCGGTGACCAAGGATCTGGAAAGGAGCTGCCCAAGGGACATCCATTAACCACTCCTTGCTGGGAAGAACAATCCCCTGTAGGCAGGTGACTTTGGCAGCTGGTTGGAGAAGGGGGTATTAGCATTTTATTTCCTTTTGAATCATTCCAATTCATTAATTCGTTATCTACCCTGACTGTCCTTTTGTCCCAGTTTCAGTGGGAGCCCCTAGGCTGGGAGACTTGGGGTCAAATCCAGACCCTGAGTGCTAGAGGCAGGTGTTAGAGGATTAACTGAGGTAATTATACATGGGTGCATATATATACATATAGTAGGTGCCCAAGAAAGACTTATTTTTCTTTATCAATTAGTCCTGTGATCTTAAAGTAAGCAATGACTGTGAATCTCTCCTTCCTCATTTATAGTAGTCGCTTTGCTGCTGTCCTAAGACATGAATGAACATGTTAGCAAAGAACCTGGGGAATTAGAAGTTTCTCTCTCACAAAGCATAATAGCCTGTCTTCTTCCAAGACCTTGGCAGCATGGTAATGGATGGCTGAGGAGACAGGTGTCCGGCAGTGTCTGTGTGATGAGTGTCTTCTAGCCACCGCTGAACCACCACGTAGAGGCTGTGCAATCTGGTGAATCTGTGCAAAGTGGCTGGGGTTGGAATAGGACCTGACCCAGCTCTGCTCCCAATCCCTGGGACTAGATTTCACTTTTCCCGGTTGCCTGTGACACTTTTCACCATGGAGCATTCTCACCTGGCAAGGGGGTGCCTTGGATGCCAGAAGATTGGTGAGGTTGAGGGGACAGCCACTTCCTGGCTACCTTGGTGAAGCTTTGCATGTCCAACCCCTGTGCTTACTTGTCTAGTAGCAGAATGGAAAATATTATGTCATTTGGGGTGGAATCCTGAGGGGACAGGGCAAGGAATTCAGGGCTGCAGCTGGCAGAGTGGGCTTAGCAGGGTTTCACTTCTCCTTGGGGGGCTTGGATTTAGCCAGGCTCCCCAGCACTATTAGCTTTGCTGTCTCCTCTTACAGAAGATGGGCGTGAACATAACCCGCAGCAACAAGGAGACCGTTAGGCACAGTGATGTCCTGTTCCTGGCTGTGAAGCCACACATCATCCCCTTTGTCCTGGATGAGATTGGGGCCAGTGTACAGGCCAGGCATATTGTGGTCTCCTGTGCAGCCGGTGTCACCATCAGCTCTGTGGAAAAGGTACCCGTCTCACTCCTGATGCCCTTTGTGTGAGGAAAGGGTGGCCTGGGAATGGCAACTGAAGGGTGGGTGCTGGTGGGAATTATGGCCCTCTGTCTTGTTGCAGAAGCTGATGGCGTTCCAGCAGGCCCCCAAAGTGATTCGCTGCATGACCAACACACCTGTGGTGGTGCGGGAGGGTGCCACAGTATATGCCACTGGCACCCACGCCCTGGTGGAGGATGGGCAGCTCCTGGAGCAGCTCATGAGCAGTGTGGGCTTCTGCACTGAGGTGGAAGAGGACCTGATCGATGCCATCACGGGCCTTAGCGGCAGTGGACCTGCCTATGTGAGGCCCTATCTGCTCAGTCGACCTTCAGGGAACCTAGGCAGCTAAATGGGCTGGCAGGCAGTCTCAGGCTGGGGGACAGTACCTACATCTTGGGCATGGCTGACTGATGAAGAAAGCTGACCACTGGAGCTAGTTCCAATCATCACAAAAAATAGACCCTGGGGAGGGCCTTGTGTCTGCTGCCCAGGGCTCAGTGAGTATCTCCACAGGCGTTCATGGCCCTGGATGCATTGGCAGATGGTGGGGTGAAGATGGGTGTGCCACGGCGACTCGCAGTTCGATTAGGAGCCCAGGCCTTACTGGTCAGTGTATTTTTCCCTGCACATTTGGGACCAGGGTGTGCAACGGAGGTTCTTATGGGTCACTGAGCTGGGGATGGGCTGGTTTGGAAGTTGGCATAGGGATTGGCCATGAATAGTGGGTGTGGGGAGGTCTGTCCCACTGTACACCAGCAGTTTCCTACCCTCATGTTCCTTCATGCTGTAGGGCGCTGCCAAGATGCTACTGGATTCAGAGGACCATCCAGGCCAGCTCAAGGACAATGTGTGCTCCCCTGGCGGGGCTACCATCCATGCCCTGCACTTCCTAGAGAGTGGGGGCTTCCGCTCTCTGCTTATCAATGCAGTTGAAGCTTCCTGTATCCGAACACGGTGGGTATGTCTTGTTGTCCTCTGCCCCAGGCGCTCCACTCCCAGCCTACCCTGGACAGGGCTGGGCTGGGCTGGACTGGACTGCATCTTGCAGTCCTTCTGTCTTAGGTCTCATCAGCAGTGCCAGAATGCACTTATTAGACTTAGCCAAGTGTCTACAGGCCTCACTTCACTTAATTCTTACCACAGTTTTGATAACTGGGATTAACTTTGATTTATAGATGGGAAAGTTTAAGATCAAACAGCTAATAAGTGATGGAGGCAGTATTCAGCTTCATCTCTGACTTTTTAAAAAATGTCAGTTCTTTTTAGTTATAAATGACAGTAGAATGTATTTTGACATATTATACATACATGGAATATAACTCCCCATCTTGTGGTTGTGCATGACTTGGGGTTTTACTCGTTATGTATTCATATATGAATACCTTTGATTCATTCTACTGTCTTTCCTATTTCTATCTCCCTTCCCTTCTTTGCCCTTTGTCTAATCCAGTGAACTTCTATTCTTCCCTCACTCACCCCTTATTGTGTGTTAGCATCCCCATATCAGAGAGAATATTCAGCCTTTGGTTTTTTGGAATTGGCTAATTTCATTTAGCATGATAGTCTCCAGTCATTTCTGACTCTCTTTTATTTTAATTTTTTAAAAGATGTTGATGGACCTTTATTTCATTCATTTATTTATATGTGGTGCTGAGAATCGAACTCAGTGCCTTACACATGCTAGGCAGGTGCTCTACTACTGAGCCACAACCACAGCCCCATCTGTGATTCTTAAGCCCTGTAATTTTTCACACTTTCTCCCTCCCCGTATGGTCATAGATACCACTGGAGTGCTATGTTTAGCTTGGATCAAATGAGGTAAATAAGACAAACCCCTACTTAGTTAAATACTAAGAGGCTGAGGGGAGCATTTGGTTTAGGGTTCTAATATTTGGTTTATCAAATTTCGGGTCTGAGGCTCTATGGATAGGGAAGATTTCATAAAGCTCTTGCTCTAAGATGTATTGCCTTCTTTCAACCCTTTTGGGATTTTGTCTGCAGAGAGCTGCAGTCCATGGCTGACAAAGAAAAGATCTCTCCGGCTGCCGTTAAGAAGACCCTCCTAGACAGAGTGAAGCTGGAGTCTTCCACAGTGTCCACACAAACCCCCTCCAGCCCAGGAAAGCTCCTGACAAGAAGCCCAGCCCTGGGAGGCAAGAAGGACTAAGGCATCATCTGCCTTCATGTCTGTGATCCCAGAGCTCTTGCCTGATGGGTCTTGACCCCTATTCCCTCCTCCAGCTGCAGGAGGGGCCAGCTCAGGTGGTTTCAGGTCCCTCTGATAAACTCCTTAGATCTATTCAGACTAAGCTGCACTAGTTGCCTCTCCTGTGCCATGGGGGAAGATGCTCTGAGGGGTGGTGGTCAATGCTGGAAGCCAGATACATCCCTGTACACCTCTGCTCATAGAGTGGCTGATCCCTGAGTCAGTGCTTAGCTGAGGGGGAAGGTCTGGGGAGGACTTCAGTTGGTGTCCTTCTGGAGTTTGATATCAAGACAAAGAAGCAAGAAAAAAAAAAAAAACATGAAAGGCCCATCTGAATTGATACATGGAAAGGAAATGAGCAATTTAAAATTATTACAGTTAATCAGAAGTGTGTGGTATTAGGAGCTTGGGTGTAGTTCAGTGGTAGAGAATTTGACCAGAAATGGTGAGGCCCTGGGTTCCATCCCCAGCATCACAAAAAGAATTTTAAAAAAGAAGTGTGTAGTATTAGATAATGCTTATATTTAACTATAGCTTCAGAGATGTGCCATTTAGAAAGTGTTATTCAGTGCTAAGTGCTTTAATAAAGTTTATTTTATATTATCCTGTTTTTCTTTTGCTTAGTCTTATTTTGTTCTAGAGAATGTGAGGCCATTACTAGATCCTGCCTGTACTGTTCAAGAGCAAGAGTTGCAGATGAGAAGTAATAAGGATCCGAGTATGATTACTCCAGCCCTGTTCCCAGGGTCAGGGACAAGATGTTGTGTTCTAGACTGGGCAAAGTTAATGGCAGAGAAGAACCAGTAGCCCAGGTGGGGTGTGGGCAACAGCCCCAGACACAAAGGAGAAAGCTGTGGGAGTTGTGGGTCAGGAGCCATGCTAAGCCTGTGATCCCTGCCACTGTCCTCTGAGGCAGGGACTCCTTTTCTTCACTTGATAGGAGATGCTGAGGCCTACAGGGGAGAAGCTCCTTACTCCTAGTTGTGCTGCTGGTCAACAGTGGGTCCTTTGTTCTTAGCCACTGACTAGTCTCCCAGAAGCTGGGGCTGGTTACACCATCTACACAACCAAACTGAGCCTGCAGCTAACAGCCTGTTGTCTGTGGCTCACATACTGAGCCCTGTGCAAGAGCTCCTAGGAACAAGCTTCCTTTTTTTTGAAAAGGTGCAAGCATTGGCAATTACCATCAGCTTGGAATTGCTCAGGAGGCTGAGACAAATTTGAGGCCAGCCTGGGCAACTCTGTGAGACCCTGACTCAAAATTAAAAAGGTTAGGAATGTAGCTCAGTGGCAGAACACTTACCTAGCATGTATGAGGCCCTGGGTTTAGTTCACAGTGTGGCCAAAAAGAAAATAGGAAATGGCAATAACGTGTTGGGAAGGATGTGGAGTAATTAGAATCCTTGTCTATTGCTGTTAGGGTTGTGAAATGGTGTGGCCACTTTGGAAAGCTGTCTGACAGTTCCTCGCAATTAAACAGAGCTACCAGAGAACCCATCAATTCCACTCTGAGGTATAAAACCAATAGAAATAAAAACATGTCTTGGGCTGGGGATGTGGCTCAAGTGGTAGCACGCATGCCTGGCATGCGCGGGGTGCTGGGTTCGATCCTCAGCATCACATAAAAAAAAAATAAAGATGTTGTGTCCACTGAAAACTGAAAAATAAATATTAAAAAATTCTCTCTCTCTTCTCTCTCTCTTTAAAAAAATGTCTTTATAGAAACTTGCACATGAATATTCATGGCAGCTTTATTAATAGTAGCCCAAAGGGGTTGGAAGTGTCACTCAGTGGTAGAAAACTTTCTTAGCATGCATGAGGCCCTGGATTTGATCCCAGCACTAGGGGGAAAAATGCTAAAAGGTAGAAAAAGAAATCCAAGCACGGTGGCACACACCTATAATCTCAGCAACTCAAGAGGCTGAGGGGCAAGTTTGAAGTGAGTCTCAGCAACTTAGCAAGACTCTGTCTCAATAAAAAGGTCTGGGATGTGGTTCTAGGTTTAATCCCCAGTACAAAAAAAAAAAAAAATCTGTACAATGAAATGTCATTTGGCAATAGGAAGTACTGATACATGCTACATATAGAAACTCAAGAAAGGATGGGTGAAAGAAACCAGTTACAAAGGACAATTATACCTAATTCAAATACATTAATTAATTTTAAAAAATGACAATTACTGTATGATTCTACATACTGAGGTCCATATCTGATACCAAATTCTGTCCTCTGCACCTGGCCTGCTGGTAAGCTATCCAGGATGACAGAAGTTTGTCCCCTTCATCTTCCTTTCCTTCAGTCCCTGCAAGATCACCCACTTCCTTGGCTTAAATCTGCCAACATAGATTTACTGAGGACCTACTAAAGCCAGCTTATGTCTTGGCACATAGTGGGGAGTGGAAGCATCCAAGCCAAATTTGACTGAAGTTGTCTGGTGCCCTGGTCCTTTTCCAGGGAGAGGTGAGAGAGCTTCATCCTTGGGAGAACCATTTTTGGTCTCCCCAGGACTTCAGTTCTGCCTGGAGGTGCTGACAAGCACCCAGGACTTCCCCTCCCAGCTGCACACCTCACATAGCTAATCCTAGTCAGGGTGGCAACTCTCTGAGATGGTCAAGGGAGCTTACAATGTGTCAGGCCAGAGGTTCTATAGCTTATCTCAGTCCCACTAGAAACCTGAGCCACCAGGAACCCCCTGGATATCTCCTATGAGAGCTGGCACTGGGGCCTAACAGAGCCTTTCTGCTAAGTATGTGCTGAATGCTCCTCTGTGGTAAGTGCCCTGTGGGGCCAGGTTGTGGCCTAGTTGGTAAGACTGTCCCTACTGAAAGTTGCACAAGAACCAAAACCAGATGTGGACACACAGGAGATGTGGCACCCGTGGGAAGGAGTGAAGGCAGCATGCAGAGGGCCAAGAGAGTAAGGAAGTGTTTTTGTCTTTTCACCCCATCTTCGTCACATGAGAATGGGCTCTGGGCCTGGAACATTTCCTTACCAAGACAGAGTGTTCACAGTTGTAGCTGGACTTGTTACCTTGTGTGGGAACACAATTCCTGTTTAAGCCTTATTGTGTATATTTCTTTGGTTAAGTATATGTATTGTATGACATATGGCCAACCCACTGCTATATCAGTTCCCTGAGATGAGGGAGCAGGGTCCTCCTGTGGCATAGAGGGATGAGTGCAGGCCAGGGGCCCTGGATGGCTGCTGGGAAGAAGTCTCTAGCCATGAGGGACCAATGCCCACCACCAAAACTGATTGTATCCTGTCTTATCCATGAGTAAAGCCAGGCCATGTTCTAGCCAGTGCTTGACTAGTTGTGTTTTCCTTGACAAATTCAAGAACAAGAGGCAGTGAGTAGAAATGCTAGGATTTCTGGGCTGGGATTGTGGCTCAGCGGTAGAACGCTTGCCTAGCACGGGCGGGACCTGGGATCGATTCTCAGCACCACATAAAAATAAAGGCATTGTGTTGTGTCCATCTACACCTAAAAAATAAATATCAAAAAAAGAAAAAAATAAATGCTAGGATTTCTATTCCTAATAACAGGTAGCAGATGCCACTTGCCCAACACTGACTGACCACCTGTTCCCTCCCTGCCCACTCTCTGTTCCCAGCTCTTTGATTCCTCTCAGGACTCCTAGGCAGGCAGGTCTAGAGCAGCCTTCATCCCTATTTCATGATGGACTTCCTCTCAGAGCCCCAGAAAAACATTTCCTTATCCATTGTGTATTATATATTACAGGAGAGTATCCATTTTAATCTCCTGTATGCAGGGATAAAAACTTCTGCATCCATCTTTTACTGATAGCTCCTTTGGGACATGGGATTGAGGTTGACTTCTCATGATTTTTTTTTTCATCTGATCTCATGACTTATTTATTTTATTTTAGATCATTTGTTGGTTATAATAAGCAGACATGAGAAGGTAGTTAAAAGATTGAACATTTTTTTCCCATGGCTCTCTACTCTGTATACCATTCAGGAACACATACACACCTCCCTGCATCCCAACGTGTTTGTTACTAGGCAACGCTCTCCAGAGAGCTGCTGGAGAGTCTCCTGAGCCCAAGTGCCTGGCTGCACTTTCCCTCACTATTTCAGGCCTTTTTGTGTATCTAATCAAAAAAACTCACGAAGCCTTGACCTGTGCCCCACTTTTACCAATAAAATAGATAGAACATAGAAGTGGATTTTGTGAGGGCTGGGGTGTAGTTCAGTGGTAGAGCGCATGCTCAACAACATGTAGGAGGTCCTGGGTTCAATCCCCAGCACTGGGAGAAAACAATGGATATTGTGGCTGTTAAATTAGTAGCATTTTGAAGATGAAATGCACTTCATTTCAAGGTCCAAGGCAGTGTGGGTATTATACTACCTTATACAGGAAATGGGGGAAGGGGAGGCTGTAGGGTTTTGGCTCAGTGGTAGAGCACCTGCCTAGCACATGTGAGGCACTGGGTTCGATCCTCCGCACCACATAAAAATAAATAAAATATATTTAAAAAGTGATGGGAAGTACAACATTGGATAAGAAAATTCTAGAAGGATACATAATAAACCAATCAATAAAAAGGGGCTTCCTTCAGCAGGGTGCTGGTGTGGGGCTCAGGAATATGGTATGTTGGGGCAGGACTGGAACAAGACTTTTCATTATATCTCTTTTGGTACTATATTGATTTTAGGAATCATATGAAGGTATTACCTGGTCACAAAATACATTTGGAACACCTGCCAGGCTGTCTCAGCATGAAAGCACTTCCCCTCCTGTCTTCCCCACCAGGGCTGGGGGTTTGGCTCAGTGGTGGAACACAATACTTTACTGAATAGTAGAGTTTTTGAGTTGACAAGAATCTGTCATCCATTGCATCCACTAGGATTCCCACAAAGATTCTAGGAGGTAAGGACAGGGGTTGGTATCCCCATATCACACATGAAGAGCCCAATGTGCTTTTCAAAGGTAACTGGGGAGCTAGCAACAAAACTTCAGTGTCCAGATCCAAATCCTCTTTCCAATTTTCCCCCACTAAATTCACGACGAGTTCTCGAGGACAGCATAAAAATGCCACTTAGGCCACCAGCAGAAGTAGGAGGTAAGGTTAGATGGATCACTGCTGCCCAGCCCCGTGGATACCTGCTTCCTTGCGGCCACGGAGAAACTTTCTTGCCACTAGGGGGCGCCAGGCGCCAACCACTGAACCTGGCTGCCGCCACAAATTTCCAGAAGCCTGTGCCCTGGGAGAAAGATCAGACAGTTGGGCTAGGTGCCAGGTCTGTCAGTGCTGGTCAGAGAGGTAAGCTCCTGAATGAATTATCTGCTTCCTGTCAGCAGCCTTTGCTGCTACCCTCCCAGTCTCCAGCAGGCAAAGCAGGAGGGCAACTTTCCTGACTGTCCACAGACCTGGGTCCGTTTTCCTGAGTACCTAGCTCAGGGACAAGAGCACCATCAAGTATCCATGGTGCCCAGAACTCTCATAGATTGTCTGACGCAATATACACCAGTCTTTCTCAGGAAGCAACTTTGAAAGTCAGATCACTTACTACCCTTGACCTTGAGTGAATTCCTGAGCCTCCAGGAACTTATCTGTAAATTGAGGGTGGGAACTTAT